TGATGGAAGTTGTGGATGTGGAGGTGTTCAAGACTAAGCTGGATGAGGTCTTGTGCAGCCTGGTCTAGTGGGAGGTGTCCCTGCCCACAGCACGGGGGTTGGAACTAGATGATCTTTAAGGTCCCTTCCAAGCCCAACCATTCTGTGATTCTCACATGGTTCTGACCAGTCTGGCAGTTACTTCCTGAGTGAAGCAGTCAGACACTTAAAAATTCTTTCCAAGTATCCAGTTCACAGATGCACAGAAGTGAAGAGCATCTTCTTTCACTCTGTTTACATCTCGTGATAATACTTACTTCAGCTCCACTTCATGGTATGTACCCTCCCTCTAAAACGTTAATGCCTATGGCTGCATTTCAAGTTGTTGATGTTAAACAGGAGATGGACAGCAAATAAATTTGGTTGTTTTTCTTACAGAAAGTATCTCATTGTGGTCCGTACCATAAATATGGCAAGGTTTTTCCATTTAGAAAATGACCCTGTATCAGTGCAACATGAGACTGGACAAGCTCCCCATTTTTCAAGCTCCTTAGCTCTCCTCTGCCATCTCTTCTGTTCTCATCTGTTTTGAGCCGGTAGTGGGAACAATATACAAAATCCCACGCAAAGAGTCACCTTTATTTTACATGAGACCATGACTGTTTCTCAAGAAATGTGAAGGAAAAGTTAGTCAGAATACTGATGTTAATCATGTTGAGCACTTTGGAAAATATTTGGGAAAAAGAGAGCCCATGTCTCAGGACGCTCACCAGTTTCATCTCTGTAGTTTTGTTCATATTTATCTCAAAGCTGGTATCTTATGTCTTTCTATCTGTACTGGTTATCATGTTTTGGGTATCTTAATTAAGTAAAACTCCCAAATTTTTAAACTCTTACTCTCGATGCTTTTGACAGAAAAGTTGGTCTCCATTAAAAGCAGCTAAGGAACGAAAATGCTCCAAGTCTTTCAACAAAGCAAACAAAAACACAGCCAGGCATCCTGTCTATTTCCTTAAAGAGAAAAGTCTGTCTTGCTGATCCAGCAGGCAATTGTATCAGGCTGAATACATCATAGAGATGTAACACTACCAAATCTGTGATCACAAGATGGTGAAGAGTGTCATCAGCTGCAAAGCACTGTCAGCACTTTAAGAGAACAAGTTAAGTGTGCTCTTACTAGCCGATGACCTTTGTGAACCCCTATCTGCTGACCAGGAGGAGTTAGATAGCAAAGGAGAGGAATCCTTTTGCCTTCTTAAGGTGTGCCTCTGCATTTACCAGCACTGAGAGGGATCCAGGTTTGGAAATACTTCTGTTTACCTGAGATTGAGCTTTTCCTTTTCTTCAGAACTCATCTCACTGATGACACCATTACCTCCATCCACTTTGAAATGCATTACTATGTCTTTATTTATAGTATAAATACTGTAATAAAACTGTTTTCTCCTATGGTAGCAGCTTTTATCTCATTCAAAACAATCCCACAACCCAAAACCAAAATGCAGTATGATCAATACTGCCCTCAATCATTGGTTGGGTAAGTATAATATAAGAATATCTGTAAGGGAATGGAGTGTTGCATCCCCAAAGCAAGAGAATAGATGACAAATTCCTATCATAAACTATTTTCTGATCATTTTCCTATGATTAAAGTTTAGTTGCTGTAATTGTTTTGAAAGTCTGCAGTTATATATTTATTTTGTACATATGTATATATTTATTTAAAAAAATTAGGCTGATAAAGAAAACTAGAAAAGCTGGATTGTAACTAAAATTGTACAAAATATGCCTGGATCTATTTTCTTTTTGTTTTCTTTCTGGGCGTTTGCTTCTTTTTCTTCCCCCCCCCCATTTTTTCCTTTCTTCATTTTAACAGTGATAGGATCAGCAGAGCTGGATTTTAATTAGGAATACTGCCAGAAGATTACAAGCTTTTTCTGATAAACTTGAAAATCTATACAGTTTGTGGGTACAATGAACAAACCATAGTAAATAAGGGCTTCATTATTTCAATGCAGTTACCAAAAGTATTATAAAATCTTAAGCACACTCAAAAGGAAGGTGCAGCACAAACATACTTTTCCTTGCAGATTTTTTAAAAAAATAAAAAATTAGGCACGTAGAATATTTTCCAACAGCATTGAACAAGGTTGTACAAAATAGTGTGATTACTGGTCCTTCTAAATCTCAAGTGCAAGTGGATCTGCCCCATCTATGCAAAAAGGTTCATGTGTGTATACATAGACATATACATGCATGCACAGGCTCACACACACTTCTTTTTCATCTGAAAGTAAACTCTTAGAAATAATAGTTACCTAGTAGCAGTTTCATAAACACCACTTCTATTTTTATATATTATTAAATCTGTGTAGTACACTAAAAGCAAGAATTATCTACAGAAAGTCAAATTCAGCCCTTATTGACCGTTTATTCAAATTAAAAAAAAGCAAGATTTAAATTAATTTTACTGTGTCTTAAGATGGTAGTAAACTAGAATTTCCCATCCATGTTTCACAAAAATACAGAACCTCTGATACTCAAGTAATAGCTGACCTTTTGGGTTTTTTTTCTGATCTTCTTTATTCAGTTTTCAGAAACAAATAACTCTATATGTCATGTGTACCTGACTCACAATCATACAAGTCATATAGAAAAAAAAATATATTAAACTGATCAATTCAGGAAGGACTACAGAGACTACACATACACTTCTCTATTTTTTATACTTCCTTTAAAGTATACGTTCTCTGTCAACAGCACACCTCGAGTTACTGAAGATCTGTAGCAGAAGTTCATACCTGGCACAACTTTTTGAAGGCACATACACCTCCAAAGCAGTTTTAAAACATCAGATTTTTTTTTTTTTTAAATTCTTGATAGTGGACACATTATTAAATTACTTAGGTACAACACATTAAAATTAATTAGATGTTTTTAAATTTCTCCTCCCCTCTTGTATCAGTACAGGAAGGAAAGAAAGTGGGTCCCTGATTTAGAGCATGAGTATTTAGTCTCTAGCAACAGATTTTCTTTGGAAAAGCTATTAAGTCTCATGTATATTGTTCTAAAAAATGCATTAATTCAACTCACTGATTTCCAACACTATTTAACTAAAAAAATAGTGACTGACAAAACATGCCACATTTGCTTTGCTTATATGACAGATAATACTGTTTGCCTGAGCCACAGTAAGGTTATGTAAACACACTCAACTCTGTTTCACAGTCATGAATAATGCATAATCATACTTTCCATATTTGGTTTGCTGTTTGAGTTTCATTATAACTTTAGGTGCTCCATTCCTTGCAAAATTCCTATTATTTTGATATTTACACCAAGGAAAATTTGGAGAGCTATAGTATCTCTCTATGAAGACCAGAAACTCCTGAACTTGAAATATATAATTCTGAGAAGTGTTTGGAAGTCACAGTTTAGATTTAAAGTTAGTTACTAACTTCACTTAGAAGAGTGCTAGGGCTCATGCGGGGCAACTCATCCTATATGTTTGGTAGCCCCCTGTGCCTTCCTCTTAGGCACACAGTCCTGATTCCTGATCGGAGATGGATTACTGAGTAAGATGGAGCAAAGATTTGCTCTGTCACAGTAATTCCTATTTCAATGAGATTTAGGAGTGAGGAAGGAGTGCCAGATCAAACGACAAAACCACTCTGTAAAACACTTAAAATATTTTGTTATTCATAGTAAATGAAGTAAAACATTAACCTAAAATCCTTTCAATAATACAGTATTATTTTTTATTACTTTAAGAGCATGTAATTGATTCTGATGCATCAAACAAAAATCTTACTGTATACAACTGTCTATGTTCTAGTCTAATATTCAGGAAGTGCATTTTTGAGCAATACAACGCTAATTACAATTCTGGGCTTCAAATACACCTACTACATCTATTATTTGGTCCAACTGCATGATTATGTGCTTTCTCTGGCTTAAAATTCCTAAATGACTAGTGTAGAAAAGTATTCAATTCTTTTTATTAAAGCTGACCAAGCTTTACATTTTGAAAAAATTGTTTCTACTGCTCTTCTGACAATAAAATAAAAACAAGGGGAAAAGGTGATATATTTGATGATAAATAAACAATATTGTTACTTACCTTAGTTTAGATTAGCCTGACTACGTGAGAGGAATGCTGCAGTATATGTGAATTCTAGGCTAGGCTGAAGCTTTTCCCCTTTCTTTTCCTTCCTTTAGTAAGAAAGGACCCTTAAGGTCAGGTCCTGCTCCCAGTGAACAAAAGAGCAGAAGTCTTCACTGGGGCTCAATAGGAGCAGGACAAAGACTTTAAAATATTTTTTTTTTTCCTTTTGTATCTTTCAGTATGAGCTTTTGTTACTTCAGGCTATGCAGATATGAAGCTTTTAAGATTTCTGAAGTCGCAATGAAGAGTTAGAAGTCTTAACATTCCTAATGAAGCACCATGCTGTTAACTAGTTTATCTGAAATCACTGACCCAAATCTGCCAGTGTTGTTTCTAAAGAAAAAATATGATTTACTCTTGACTAAAAAATCCAAGGTATTTTGAAAAACACCTTTTTTTGCCACTACAGGTACAAACTTTTATCCAAGTTGCATAATTGCCATTCATTTGCTAAGACTTCGGTTTCCCCATTCATACTCAACCCTTCTGCTAGAGGAAATTTCCTTTACATAAAAGGCTGCTCTTGGCCAAACCATTAGCCACTGCTGACACCCACGTATGTCTCTGTATTTCCTTGCCTACCTGCAAACAAGGCTTCTAAGAGATAAAAATATTTTTCATTGATCAGGACAGAAAGTTGTCATGGTACATATTCTAAGAGGCATTTGTATATTGTTTCTTGCAGATGCCTAGTGATCAAAGAAAATCATTATCTCAGAAATTTATTCACAGCTGGAAAACCTTCTCTCCTGAGAGGTCTATATCTACACGCACGTAACACAGAAGCCACAGATGAAATCATGGTAAACCACGTTTGGTGAGAGGCCTGTCTGCCAAGAGCGTGTGTCTCACTCACCTGTTTGGCTAAGTTGAGATGTGCTTCTGCTCCTTCGAGACACTATGGCAACCACTTTGGCACTAAGGCTGGAACGTCTCTTCTTCCCACCTGTTCCAACCATGCCGACAGCCGTGTCCGACTGACTCCCATCATTGTGCTCCAGCTTATACATCTCTCCGCTCACACTTGTGCTCTTAGTGATTCTCCCTGAAGTCCCCATCCGTCTGCCTTGCATTTTAGGAGTAAATGTACTACAGTTACAAAGTAAAAACAAACATGTTAATTTGTCTGTGTAACAGTATTTCCAAAAACCTTTTTTTTTTTTTTAATTTTTTTTTTTTAATTAGTAAACTAAGTGTTGATACATTTTCAGTTATCTGGTTCACAAATAAAATGCTAATTTGAGGCTCCTCAAGAGTCTGTATTTGCAGTGTTATATTTTGCTCTTCACTTCTTTGAGGGAAAGGAATAAAATGAAGGCTTCCCCATGTTTTTCAGAGTGACAGAAAGACACCTAACATTTAAAAGTCATGCTAAGCCTTCCTGTCTATATCCCCAGAATACAGAAAGCAATAAAACAACCATTTTACAACCACAGAAAACGAATATGGACCAAGAGAATATAAGTAGTGTCTTATTGACACTGTTCACCCAAGCCTTAAGACCTAACAGATAGAAAGATATCATCTATATATTTATATTTCACATGAAGAGGCAACATAATATGTAGTATTTTTTAGGTTTTTGCTCTCTCACTTCTTTAAAAGTGCAATTATCACAATATGAAGGCAAAGTAATTCTGAGACAAGAGGCAAAACCCCACAATAACCCACTGGAACTTTCACTGACTGACAGAAAGATGAATCGTTCTGTCAGTTCTGTTTGATTTTCTTCAGCTATTGCATTTGAATGTTTCCACAAAAATCCCTTTTCTGCTCTTGTACATAGAGCCTGGGTAAAGTATTCAGAAACACACTCTAGAGAACAATCTCAAATACACACAGGACGTACTAATACACAGTCCTAACATGGCTATGACCAAGCAAAGCCCCAGCTCTAACAGCAACATGAAGTTAGCAGAGACACAGAAAAGGAAGCTGCAACCTGACTCACTTCAGATGTAGTTGTTAAATCAGCCTAGAATGTTGGAAATTCCTTGATCTTGTCCTGCTGATTAGTAGACCTGCTGGCAACATACTCATTTATGGGATGTTTTTTTCAGTGACTCTCTATTTTGAAATCAAATTTTGAACTTATTTGTTAAGCAAAGGTCCTGCTGTCCCTCTCAGCAGGTTCCCTTCCCAACAGATGTGGTGTCCTGTGCCCACCCACTTCCACCTCTCCAAAAATAAGAGAGAGGTTGGATGTGCAGGCTTCTTTATATCATTGCAAGTTTCAGACTGATTGGAAATCGTGCAGGGAGAAATGAAGGGGTCTGTGGAAGATGAACTGGCATCCTGTGAATTCTATAGATCTGGGCCCTACTAAAGCTTAAATCAGTCCTGCCTAAAGACAGATCCAGGAAAGTATAAAGTAATATATAACTAAGTTATGTTTTACTGACAGTCACCAATATTTACTCATGTGTGGCCACAGGGTAAGAGCAGGTAAAAACAGACAGTATCTTTTTAAGAAGTTGGGAAAAGAAGGAAGGTTTTGATTGGATATTAGGAAGAATTTCTTCACTGAGACAGTGGTTAGACACTGGAATGGGCTGCCAAGAGAGGTGGTGGAGACATCATCCCTGGAGGTGTTCAAAAAACAAGTGGATGTGGCACATGAGACTATGGTCTAGTGGTTAGGGAAATTTTGGGAGGAAGGTTGGACTTCCTGGAGGTCCTTTGCAACCACAGTGATTCTGTGATTCTATAGAAGTCCTTGAATAGACAGCACCTAATAGAAAGGTTGTTATCAGTCTTTGCATAGGCATTTAACTGTGTTCAGCCCTTAGGATCCACTCCTGTTGAGTTCTGATAAAAATATGTAGCTGCCACCTTCACACAGCACAAGGTGAAGAAATGTTCTCTCTTTAAGCAGTGACATTACTAAATTGCTTACTTATCAAGAAAACTTGAAAACTAGAGAACAAATGTACAGTATGATAACACTATCCGAATACGCTATCAACCGGCATCAGAAGCTTGGAGTGATGTCACATAATCCCTGTGTTCAAACAGGCTTCATTTTCAGAGGTCCTACTCTCCACTTTGATTAGATATGGAGAATTCCTTTCCACCAGCACTTGGAATTAGATTTCAGTGACTATTTCTGTGATACTGATGATGCCCCTAGTTGCTCTGTAGTCATTTTGTTCCCATTTTGAACAATGGAGTTTTTGTCAGTTCTGGAACTCCTGAGTTTATGCATCCGTACTTTAGTCATAGAGCGGGAAGAAACTGGAAATACTTTTTTTGAGAGCATGTGTTGATATTTGAGCTATAGTGATGTACTTTGCTGACACACTAATCTATAGATGTAAAATTTACAGCAATAAAGTTTAATGGACATTAAAATCTACCATGCAATTGAAGAAGTAATTGTTTTGACCATGCTCTACTGAATTTCAAGTGTTTATGAATATAATAAATACTGACATATTTTTATGCCAGTCTGCTTTTTTTTCTTTTACACAACAGAGCTGAAATGCTCTAATCTCACATTATTTAGAGTTTAGAAGACAATGATGTCCATCAGCTGAGAAATAAGAATTGACAATATTGCAATGTATTAATTCCATTGCTGTTTCAAAGACTCACATACGTTTCAATTTTCATTCTTTGTGACAGGTAGAGGGATCTAGAAGATTCACCTTAAAAACTGAAATATCTGGCATTCAGATTAATCTTATACTTGTTTTTAGCTTGCAAATATCAAGTTCTGCTTTCCTAAGAATTATGTTCTAGTGCACAACTAGTACAAAATAGCTCTTAGTTTGCTAGAAGTGGGCTTAATGGGATAGGACTAAGGATCAAATCCTACAGCTGCCCAATACTTCCCCTTGTCATAGCTAAAAAAACCAGATTAAGATTCCACTGTGTTCATCTAATCCCTGGGCTAGTTTACTATTTGACATTAGTTGGAAGAGTATCAGAAGAACAAATATTTAAAATTCAATCTTCTTATACCACCTAATTGAGTATCCTTAGAACACAACATTTTCCCCTTCCATTACTGGCTATCACTTAGAGAAATAGCTCCTAGATCACACTGTTACTTACTTCCATGTGGTTCGAGTTTAATTTATGAAGCACAAAGCAGCAAAGACCTGCAAGAATTTGCATATATCATTTTGCACTTAGCCCTTCTGATAATAGCATACCTAAAATTTTCTTTTTCTTTACTGTACTTGCTGGGACTATTGACATATTCATTTAAATGCAGATGCAAGTTTTTGCAAGCCTGTGCCTAAAATTGGTAAAAAATTAAGTTATATTTTTGATTCAAACCTAGTTATCATAATGCAATAAATAAATAGTTTTCAGTAGCAGCATAACCAAAAGTAACATTTATCAGTATATGCCATTTATTTCTAAATTAAATAATTCACTATTTTCCTTTAAAGTTATTTTACCATCTTTAGCAATTCTTGCAATTAATAGTTCAGCATAAATCTTATGCTATTTCTAATCATTGGCATACTGCCATTGATGTGTATACCAAGAATAGTTAAAGTCAATCTCTCTATTTTACTTCACAGATATTAGGCATTGAAAAAGAGTCACTTCATTTTTTTTTTTTTTTTAAATTGAAATAAACCAGTAAAGTAAAAACCCCTTTGACACCAGCAAATGCAGAGCTGATACCCTGCCTGGGCTCCTAGAGCTGTCCCTGAGCTCCAGGGTCCCCCACTGCCACCAGGCTCCCGCATCGGCTGGGAAGACACCGCTTCATTCACCCAGGGAAAAGCCCTTACATCGTCCTGCCAAAACCTCTGCAGTTGAGATGGATCCTATCTAAAGCGGTAACTGTACCACACAAGGCAAAATCAAGACTATATTTATATGTCAGCCATCCGAGTTTTGAAAGAAAGTAGCATTTTCATTTTTGCAAGCTGACACTACCTGAAAGTTGCACTTGGGTCTGTGGGTAAGAAGAAGGAACTATTAAGAGAAAAAAATTATTCAAAGATTAGTTTTAATTACAAGCTGCCATAAAAAATAAGTCTGAGGTAAATTCTATAAAATGAATCACTACAAGGACATGGGGATTACAACTTACTGATACTAAACTACAGCATACACAACTATACAGGGCTGAAACAAAGCCAATTACATGTACTAAATCATTGTATATCCTTCTGTGTACAGATATATTATACATACATTGAAGGTACATAAAATTATACTGGACAAATTATTCGGACTGAGAAAATTAGTATATAGATAAATACTCAGTATTTCTCAGTAACGATATAAAATACATGCCAGTAGTACATATAAAGTATATAGACGTACTTATACATATAGCTTGAAAAAGAAAGATAGTAGGATACATGAAGCTAGAAAAAACTTTGCCCATAAACTCACCTATATTATATCTGGAAGTATATCCTTTTAGGGAGAAAGTCTTAAGAGATTAGCCTTTGCTAAAATTAAAGTATTTCCTTCATTCTCTTAGACTTACTGATGATTTATAAAAAACACTTCAGGTGTTTATTTTCATAATCACTCATTTTCACTCCATCCAGTTTTCCAATCATGCAAGCTGTGAGTAAATAAACAATCCCCTGCATTCCTTGCCATATAGATGAAATTTTAACGTAAGTTCTTCCCACACAGTTGCAGTAACTTGATTCTTCAGACAGAATCCCTGGCCTTCACCAGCATGAGCTAGGAAGCTTCCTCTCTCTTCTGCTGAATGCAGAATCACGTACTAATTCATAGCCCCTATGGCACCCTTTGCAATGAGGTAGCTCATGAATACTAATAACCTCCTAACCATGTAGTACTTGTGGACCAAAGGGAAGATGAGTACCCCTTTATAAGGAGGAACATTACAATTCTAAAAATAAACCAAGTCCTGTTACTAGTATTATATGATACATAATTAAGAAATCCAAACTCTACCTATCCAGAAATTGCTCTGCCAGGCTTAGAATATATAGCTGTATTTACACATGATATATAACATTTGCTGCAAGATTAATTACTGTACAGTTTATGGTATTTCATAAATTAAATCAAACACGGTGCTTTACAAACCAAAGAACAAACATATTAAAATTCTCTCTAGTTAGTCGAGAGACTTCTTT